AAAGCCAGACCACCTGTGTGCTCTGTGTGGTTTATTTAATAATTTATCGATTTATTTACTTACCTTTCTTGTCCGCTTCTTGTGCTCTTGATCTCGGGTGTCTTCCCTGATCGCTATCAGAGTGATTTCTTGTGATTAACCCATTTCAGTGCCGTGTCGGTCCCTCAGACGCCGCTCTTTTCTTAACCCCCCCCATCTGAGCACATTTCAGAGGTCATGACTGACAGGTGGATTGACGGGCCGGCTGCGTGTCTTTGCGTGTCTCCATGCTGTCAGGTGTTATTTGCATCCCAACAGGCGGCTTGGTGCGTTGCCAGCGTGTAAAAGCGCGTGCCAATGAAAGCGGAAAGAGCAGGGAGCCGCGTGCCGGCCGCTGCGAAAGGCGTAATCACATTACCCTAATCTCATTTTCTTATGAATTTCACATTGCCGACGGGCGTTAAAAAAATAAAAATAAAACACACGCGGAGTCCGGTCAGATCTGAAATGGTTTTCTGACCTGTATCCCTTGTGCATTCGGGGAGCCTGTAATTTTCATAAACTTTCAGACCATGCACACTGTATATCTTCTGGCTGACCCAGGAGAATGTTTCAGATCATGCAGATTTTAGTGGGTGAGCAGGGCAGGGCCATCTCCGTCTCCTGCCTGAGAGTGACCCTAACCTCCCCTGCCTTCCACACCAAGAAAGGCTCTGATTTTCAAATCGCCCATGTTTTAAATTATTATTATTATTTTTTTAAATGCTATTATCTGGCCAAATGGGTTTAGTGTGGTGGTGTGTTTTCTTCTGCCACAAATTGAGTAATAGCACAGTGATTCATAGACTAATTAATCCTGGGCTTTGTGTTATCTATAAATGGATGTGTCTGGAGCGGAGGGCCGTCTGACACTCTGGTTCTGTCGTGTGACCTGCCCCTTCCAGTTTGCACGGCTCCCCTTTCCTGTGCGCCCAGGCAAGGCGCTGTGCATTTTCCCAGGAAACCGAGACCCGTCAGCAGCGGTGACCTTTTGAACTGCAGTTAAATTGGACAAAGGATGGATGTAAACGTCTAGCATGTGTCTGCGTGTCTGTCTGTCTGTGTGCGATTATTCATCAGTGTAATTTCTGACTTTTAATGTATTTCTATTATTGCCCTGTCACACTTTGATGAAGCTAATAATAAATATATATGGTTTATTGTTTAATATTACTGAGAGCTTTGGTGTCTTACATATGAGTGCCCCTGGTAGACAGTGACTTTTTCCAACATATTTGTAATACTAGGAGACACATTCAATAAATAGCTAAATAAGTCCACATGCCCTCAGTCTTTTCCCTGAATGATTATATCTTATTCTTACATATATCAGCTATGCCTTTGAAGAAAAAAAAAAACAGGGTCTATGTCCTTAAAGTGGTTTTCACACAATTACACTACTTCCTAAATATGCTTTCTATGAACACAAATCACTGATCCTTTTCCTTGTTATTATAAGGCAATTGCATTTGGGAGTGGAAATTTCCTAAGATACCAGTGGGGAAATGCCACTGTACATTAGGCACTGCAGTCTCCATGTGGAGAGGAAGTAAACAGGAAGCACGATGGCCCCACTACTGGGTAATTCCATCTTCCCTCTCCTTAGGATGGCTGGCATTCTGTCGGGGGTGATTACAGCCCTCCAGGCCTTTCCTACCCAGCATCCTTTTCTTCGACAGAGATTCAAACATAGTTCAATTTGCAGGAAAATCCAGAGGCGATTTTAAAAAACAGAGATAACAGGAGCTGTTGACCTGTTTTTTTTTCTGTTCGCGCCCGAGCTGGGCATGACTTTGAGGCACTAACGGTATTAATGGGCATCGTTAAATGTCACTGTAAGTCAGCTTTATGTCAGAGTGAAGGGCTGGCTGGCATTCTTAATTAAAACGAAGGGCTCCGTTCCTGACTTTACGCGAGTATCCGATGGGGAAGTGGATATTTTCTCTCTGGTCTGCATGCCTGAATTCTGCTGCTTTCCGTTAGAGATGGTATCTTGCCTTTTTCTGTTGTGTGCTTAGAGACCATTTACAGCCAGTGAAACTAGGGGGATGCGTGTTTTCTGTCTCAGCTGGAAATCATGTGAATAAGGTTATTTTGTTATGGTTTTACCCAGCTTTTCTGTTTCGTACATTCAACGAGGTCACAGCGAATATAAATGCATGAATGCTAAACGTTTTTTTTTCTGCTTTTTTCTTGCAAATTAAGCAGAACTGTGCTCAAAACATTTCTGAACTCTGCTGAATTTATTTGTATGTTCAGCAAATAAGTGAGCATGTTGTCCTTTTGCTGCTGACAGGAGGAGGTCAGCCGTGATTGGAGGAGACCTCTCTCCAGGTGAAACAAGGTTACATGACCCCATCAATAACGTTAGGCAGCCACGGACAGCCTTGATGCATTGATTCCAGCTTTTTTTTTTCTATCTGGACAGAGTTTTACACACCAAATATTAAGTAACGTTTAACCTTTAATGTTAATTAGAAACATTTAATGAGAAATCAGCATTAAATGGAGTTTCAGAGTGGCCCTCATTAACACAATGATGACCAGATCGTATTAGAATGGAACCTCAATTGAATTAGTCTCCAGATTGGTGTGTCATTGCTCGAAGAAAGCGTAGACGTGTAACTTTTACACAATTCAGATGGAGCCTATAAACTTCAACCGCAGACCGCATTGTTGGGAACGCAGGCGTGACGTCAACAGGGCACAGTCAGGCATGACGGTAAGAGCTCAGCCACTGGGACTCTGCAGAAAGGGACTGAGCACAGAATCACTCCAGATGGGCAAATAAAACCCAGGAGGGTCAGTTTGGAACCAGAATCAGAATCACATGCGACAACAGAACTGTGACTCGCAGATGAGAGTATAAACATGGCGCGCGGCATTTCTGAGAAATGGACCCACGATGGGGTGGTTGGCCGCGACAGCCTGCCCTCATTTCCGCTTTGTGTGGCAGCTTTTTGCCCATGCGGCTGCCTTGTGGTACATCACAGAGGAGAGCTATGAGAGTGCAGGCAACTCAGTCACTTAAGTTGGGGTTTAATACACGAGTGGCAGGGTGGGGACGCATCGGGGGAGGGGCCGGCCCTGAGGACAAGCCGCGCTATGTGCTATCAAAGGGTAATCGTGTTCATTTTCTGTGTGGGTGCGGGATGAGTGACCAGGAGCTCTGGCTTAGCTCTCACAGGTTTACCGGTGGCACATTTAAGTTGGAACGAATATTGTGTTTGCATCTGGGTTGCCTGCTTCTTTCTACTCTGAGGTTTTCCAGTAAATCATGCTGTTAGTTTCTCAAAAAACCCCTGTGTCCTGTCATCAAGAGTCATGGTTAGTCACATTGCTGTGGTTTTCCTGTGCGCTGTAATAGTTTTACTGTAATCAAATATTCCTATAATGGATTATTCTGATGTTATGCATCAGTTCTCTTTTTGTGTGCTTCACTCTTCACAGGCATATAGATACACATCCACATACACAGTCGCCCCCACACATTCACGCACTCGTGTCCTCCCTCCCGCATGATAATCTGCCATATCCTTCTTTTAAGGGAGTTTTGTGTAGCACATTTTATGGGGCGATGTTATGTATATCCTACCTAACATGGGCACAGACATGTTGCCATGGTTACCTCCCATAGACTGCATCTTGGTCGAAACACGACTCCCATCAGCCGCGTCACACAAAAAGACTTACGGTGGTCAGCCATACCTTCATTCGATATTAAACTTCTCATTCTTCCCACTCGAGGAGAATATCGCAGAGGGAGAGTACAAGGCTGAATGATTCATTACACAGGCCTGCTCTGGATTGAAGTTATTTTGAATATCATTATTTGATGATAAAAAGGCAGAAATTCCATAAAAGCTCTCCTAGTGTATTGGGAAAAGCTGATTTTGCTTCAGAGCCTCACAATGCCTCGCAATTTTAACACTTAAGCAGTTGTTTAAGATGAAAAGCAGCTGTAGGCCAGCTGCGATTGTTTCCAGTCGCCTGTATGATGCAGCACTTCCCTATCTCCATAAATCTGACAGAATTCACGTTATTGCAAATCCACGGTTCCATATCATAACAAAACGTCGGTGCTGTGTAACAAGCACTTCAATTTTTTGTACATATTTCACCCTTCATTTTCACTTTCGCTAGCTTTTCGAGGAAAAATATCCTGTCCTCTCTTACCTCTGAAATAGTGATAATGATTGGTAGTTGGGCACCCATACTATTACAGGTTACATTTTTAATTTGCCATTTTGGCATTCGCTATTATATGGTCCTAAGTGATTACGTAAGACTGTGCTGTTAGTCACCCATAACCGAGGTTTGTGACCCCTGTCAAATGTTATAAAAAAAAAGGACTGACAGTCATTTGAGTGTGTGCGTGATGCAAGACCTCGCAACATGCTGGAGAGCAGATTGCTGGTGACAACGGTGTCCACGCTGCGCACTGGCAACCTTAAGAAGCTGGGGTGTCGCAAAAAGTGTGTCTCCCTGTCAGATGTTTACGGTCATTTCATTAGTATTTTATTCTCTAAAACGGCAGCCTCCCCACCGGCCTCTGCTGATTTACAGCTTGAGCCTCGCCGTTGATGCTGCTCTAGTCATATCTGTTCGGGGTGGCTGACCTTGAGTTTTGCTTCCTGCTGACATTTATGGACGTGCAGGTCTTGAATTGTGAACATTGGGCCAATCGGGGGGGGAGGGGGTGCAATAAGCTTCCTCGTTCTTCTGTGTCCACGGTCCTCAGATTCCTTTGGAGCTGTGCCAGCTGCAGGATGTTGCTAATTAAAATGATACTAAACGGACAAGGAAATTGGGCTGAATGCTCTTCCTTTGTCTGTCTTACGTTGTTATGTACAAGTCTGCAGATTTTTAGGTATAATTACACCATGTACAGTTACGATCCATGGTCTTCGTAGATCACGCAGTAGCTAAGCGCTGGGCCATCCGCTGATGGTCTTCTTGTGCATGTCTTGCCCCCCCTGCAGCCTTCATCCGTGCCCCCATCCCTATGGCGGTGGTGCGGAGGGAGCTGTCTTGCGAGAGCTACCCCATCGAGCTGCGCTGCCCGGGCACCGACGTCATCATGATCGAGAGCGCCAACTACGGGCGCACCGATGACAAGATCTGCGACGCCGACCCCGCCCAGATGGAGAACACGCGCTGCTACCTGCCTGATGCCTACAAGATCATGTCTCAGAGGTGGGTGGCTTCCCCTGCTGCCCCCCCCCCCAAAAAAAAACAACAAAACATTCTCCCATCTATCTCCTTAAAAAGAGCGCTGTCAGGGGGTGTAATACGTACACATCACCAAGATTACTGCCATTTGCAGAGTTTTCTCTGCTCTGTGTTGCTGTGGAGATTTTATGCATCAGCATTCATGGTAGGTTGTTGGCTGCCAGGATGGCCTGGTGAGTTCTTGTAAGGTTGTGAGGAAGCATAACAGGGAGAAACACTCCAGTGGGGGTCACTGGGTTTCTGATGGGCCCATACAGACCCCAGTGGGGGCCAGACAGTCCCCAATGGTTATTCACCCTGATCAGGTGAACAGGGCTGCTAACAGCTTAACAGCTGTGTTCAGTAATGCTGATATTATTTATTAAGATTTCCCCTCTGTTTATAAGGGGCAGTGGACAAAAGGCTTAAAGGGGCGACTTGTGTTTCGGAGAAGCTGAAGGAGCTGAAGGCGTCTTCATTGTGCTTCCTGATCCTGCCACACCCGCACTATCAGCCTGTAATCCTGCCTATATGAACTGCAGTGCTTACACCCACACGCACGCACACTGCACGAGGCCTGCGTACAGGCAGCAGCTGCTGGGCTGTGGCAAGGACTCCCAGGGCGGGTCCGTGCGAAAACGGCCGGCCCGTTGCCAGAACGCCCTCGTATGCCCGACCGACAGGAGAACAAAACAGATCAGTGCAGCTCGTAGAGCTGAGGTTAGCCTGATGCTAAAATTCTGGGTTTTTCCATATGTTTGACTTTAAGCCATGGCTCTGCTTTGCTGGGGCTGTAGGGATATTAATGCCCTTTTACGCTTGGAGTTTGATTTCACTCAGCATTGCAAGGAGCAGAAGAGCCGTCACATGGTTGGCATTGGCCCTTGCGTACTCTTTGAGAAATAGCTGTCCCCTATGTCCCACAAAACCCTCCTAAGTCCCCTTAAAGTCTGCTCCCTTCTGGGGAGCCAGTAGTCTGACCTTGTGATCCAGATTAACCGTCGTTGGCATTCAGTTCATCCTACCAGTCCCCCGGGGGACCGAGGCCGGGGGCCAGAATCCATGCATCTGACCTCTAGCTGTCACCCACTTGCCTTCAAAGAGGAAGCTGTTTACTCTTTGAGGGCCCTGCCATATCAGCTATGTCAGACCCTTCCCCCCTGCCATGGGCACGTTTAACACGGCAGGGTGGAGGCATACACCATACATCAAAGTCTTCATACGTGAGAGTCAACGGGTTATCACGATCCGCTCTTTCACGTAGACGCAAAACCGTTTCGACCTCAGGCAGATCTTCAGGTTTATGGCTGGGTGCAGGAGGACCGCTAAATGGTCCTCGCTCTGAGCAGAGCCCCAAGAGCGGCTGGCCCAAACCACTCAGTGCATCATTTCCTCTGACAATACCCCAACACAACCACCAACCACACTGAGTCGGATACACCATAATCTAACATTCCCATAACATTCATGTTACGTTGGACCCTCCAGCAGAAGGAAACGGTCTGCACTTTTCTGGACATGTGATGTTGTTGCTCGCATATGTATAGAGAAGTAGCAACAGAATAAATTATTCTGTCCTGTATGGCACATATGGATTAAAATCCATTTCAGTACAAAAATATTTGAAGACCACAAGCATCTAATGAATCAGAATTCTTCACAATCCATTTGTGCTTCAGTTAATGTAATTGTTCCATGGTACTCTGGGGTCCGCCAACTCCTCGGGTAAAGCCCAATCTTGATGGACGATAAAACTGAAGAACAGTTCCCATGGTTGTCCCACTGTGTATAGGGGGTGCCTGTCATGTGGGGTTTATTTCTGGGTTCAGCGTTCAAGCATTCAGGAGATGCTGGTCTTCCTTGTGATGTTGCTCAAGCGTCCAACAGTAAAATCACTTTGCTCACCATGGGATTTGAACTGGTGACCTTCTGATGACGGGTACAGCAGCCTAACCCACTTAGCCTCACCCTGCCCCCCTACTAGTAAGGCACTTGGTCGTACAACATGTGAGGCCGTTAGACACAGAGCTTGAAATTTCATATGGTCTGTTAACATGAATGTTTTGATAGCCATACCGCGGTTTGGAAAACCATACAGTCATGCAGATAAATGAATGAATGTTATATTTTTATAATGCTTTTTAAAGACACCCAGAGTGCTTTACAGAACCAGTTGGGAGCCATTACAACCACCACCACTATGTAACACCCACCTAGATGATGCAATGGTATAAATGACACCAACTGATGTGCACAAAGGCACATGCGTTTATACAGAGCAAACCATATTCTGCTGCCTGTTATTCCCCAGCCAAAGAGAACACGAGGCAGCCACCTGAATCCATCCCTTATGCCGCCATCTCCGGCGGACGGATTCTTCAGTGTGCAGAGAGACATGCCCGAATCTATCCCCATGTTCTTGTCACAACTGATGTCCACACGGATTTGCATCAGGCTGGAAAGTCTGACCTACTTCAGACTGTTTATTTTATTAGATTTTATTTTTCTGTAAAGAAGATTAGCCATAAAGTTTGATTTTTTTTTTCCCCATGCCCTTCGGCTCTGAAACACTTTGACTCGATTGTGATGTTGTGCCGTAGACATGAATTTTTCAAACACAAGTGGCTAGACGTAGCCTGGAGGTTTATTTCCTTGCCAAGCGTCTTGCCTGATCTCTAACAAAACAAAATGACACTTTTACTTTCACGTTTTATTTTATCTTTTTTTTTGCTTCTAAGTGATGCCTCGCAGTAGGTCTTTCGGAAAGGGGCTGAGAATATGCTGACGTAACAACAGAGCGGCCGGCGATCCGCGTTAGGCCATAACGGAGAAAAGGGGTCCTTTTCGAAAGGAAAACTGTGTCTGTATCTACTAGGGTAGATTTAAGAAAAACAATAACAGAAATGTTTCAAACTGTAGGCCAGAGTTGGAACATCTGTGAGTGAGGATAAGGAGCAGGATAATTGTTTGTGTAATTGAGTTACCGGACAGCTCTGGCCTCCTTTATTTATGGGATGTCAGGCTCTGAGGATCGGAGCCTGGGGTCCCCCACGCCGAGATTTATGTTTACAGCTGTTCACAGTTTCCTCTCGGGTGGCCTTCGAGCACAGGATGAGCGAAATGCAAATATTTAATGCTGAGTGGCCCGTTAGATCACCCGGTAATCAAAGTGGCGGGGGCCACGGCCTTTCAGAGCTCCTCTGCCCAGCAGCCTCTACATTTTTACAGTTTCCGCCTTGCACACATTGCTCTGAATATTACTTAACCACCTTAATTCAAGGGGAAAATGTTCCATATATCAGCAAATAGGCTTAAGTGTTTGATTTCCGCCGGAAAATCCACCGCAAAGTGCTGCGGGACAGCTTCATAGACGAAGTGCCGATTGCCGTGAAAAACTCGGGGATACAGCCTGCAGGGGGCACGGAAAAGGCGTGTGCTTGGCGTGTGTGCCCATGGCAACCAAAATATACCCTGCTTTTATTGTGCTTCCCCCTTGTTGTCACTGTTATAGATAAGCTGCCCATTCGTCTATTAATCTCCTTACGAAATCCCACACCGTTGATTACGCGTGTTGTGGCAAAGCATTACAGGGAGAACTATTTAAGTCTCCTAGAGCACTATATGGAAAAGTGCAATAAGATAAAAGGCTCTTACACCAAATTGTCTTCTACACTGGAAGCAGTGTGCTGCCTGCAGACTACTCTATAAATGCTTGCCATGTTTAAAGATTACTTCTGGAATTTAAAGCCGGCTCTCTTCCACTCATTTCTGTTATATAACTTTCCTCCCGAATCGGGGAGCACTTAAACAAAGAGGGAAAGACAGGCATTCTTTCCTGCTTATTTCATACAGTACCACTTGCTATTCCTTCTCCCAACTCTATCATTTTTTTCCTCCTCCTCTTCCCCCCTTCTGATAAGAGCCCCCGCCTCCTTACATTTGGCAATTAAATTTGCCCATCTAAGCTTTCAGTGTGTGGCCTGGACACACAGGATGCTGGCAGTTTATCTAGCGGTGAGTCGAACCCGGGACCTTCTATCATGTGACTCGCTGATTCTCACAGGCCCTGCGGATGCTGCACACAATTCAAATGGCAGATTCAATTACTGGTGATTGATAACAGGGAAAAAAAATGCAATTAAGTGAATTTTTGGCATTTTTATTCATGCAGACGAGGTGACAAGTGGCTCTCTGTTGAGACGCGGCCCCACGCGGGCTCCCGCCGACTTCTGCAGGGGCACCGAGTGGAGGAGAAGGGGTCCGATTCTTTATGTGGCCGCGGGACCCCGTCCCACGCTGCTGCGTTGGAGCTGCCATGAAAAGGCCCATTGAGAGCAGGGCAGCTGGGGTGGAGGCTTGGCTGTCTGATGTGCCCATATCTCTCCCGGCGGGTCCCCCCCCCCCCCCCCATTGCGCTCCTCTTTATTGGCAGGTGGGATCACATCTCTCCATGTGCGAGCTACACATCTCTCTACCTTCCTGCACGTTCCACAGCCTGGAAATCTAAATGTCAGAATGGTGGCCATCTAACGAGCTGGATTACTCCGATGCTGGGGGTAGGGGGGGGGACTTCCTTTCAGCCTGACCTTTTCGTGCCCCCCCCCAACGTTTCGCCCTCACACATGGGGTTATGACAAAGCACGGATTCTTTTTTCCCTGGCCAATTCACGCTCTGCCCCGGCTTGTGATTTTGCCTTGGCCTTGAACTCCCCTTTTCACTCCCCCTCCCCTCCGTGACTGCCCCCCTCCCCCATCCCCACAGATAGATTTCACCCAGTCTTAGCTACCTACCGGAGCCCGTGGACAGAGATTGAAAATAACGGGAAGTCTTTAGCTACCTAAACGACGCCTCCCATGCATTTAGATCCATCAGGGATTAGGGTCTCCCTAAGCTGGTGTTGGTTTTCATTTTGCTGGAGATGTGACGACGTGCCTGGGCATAATAACATTGTTCGAGTTGACGAAAGGGCCACCTGTTTTGTGCT